CACACACACACACACACACACATATTCAAATAGAAAAATACCCCCCCAAAAGAGAAAGTATTTGCCATGAACTCCTTTCATAGTCTTAAGCACAGATTCAACATCTCAGCCTCGGTACGCCTTATCTTATGCGGCTTTTGTGAAAATTACAATCAAAAAATAAAGCCCCTTGAACATTCTTGAAAGCATTGTAAAACAATAATATAGTAGTAATAACAACAATAACAATACGGGCTCTTTTTGTAGCAGGAACTCCTTTGCATATTAGGCAACACGCCCCAAATGTAGCCAATCCTCCAAGAGCTTACAGAGCTCTTCTTACAGGGGCTACTGTAAGCTCTTGGAGGATTGGCTACACTAGGGGTGTGTTGCCTAATATGCAAATGGGGATCATATCTGTTTTGAGCTGTTACCAGCGTTTACCATAGTTTCATCACAAAACTGCCTGAAGACAGACACTTCAGAAATATTTGCTGTTGTTACTATACTTCTCTTTGCTGTCTGGTAGCAACCAAAAAACCAAATTTCTAGAGAGATCTTCGTGACACCTCCATGGTTATAATGACCACAGCAAGAAATCAAGATAGTATTTCTACCAAATTTGACGAACATCTGAACATGGACAAAGAGTAAATAAAAGACATCAGTGGATCTTGGATAGATTTACCATTAGATATGAAAGTAGTGTCCGAAACTAGCCTCTTACCACAATCTTATAAATAATGGTGTAGTTGTAATAAGACATATAGTCATTTCATAACTAACTACAACACTCACTACTTCTGGTCTATTAATTGCCATGCCATTAAAACTATAGTAACTGTACATTAGGTACATAGGATTGTGCATCTCAATATCACTTTTGAAGTGCCAGGTGTCTGAGCTATTCCCCGTACATCTTGCTTTCATCACACTAAAAAGTAGTAGCAAAATGCTACTACAGTGAGTTTTGCAATCAAATCTGTGAGTTCCCTTTCAGTTTTCTCAACAGATCGAATTCCATTATTTGGGATTTCTGATGAGCAGTCCAATCAAATCCATGTTGTTGTTGTTTTAAAAAAATCCTTCTTCTACTATTAAAGAATCTTATATCCCTGACTCCTTTGTGTGAAATCACATTAGTAAGTCAAGACACTGAACACTAAGCTCAAGTGGTTAAGACACGAAACTGCAGGCTGTGGAACGTCAGTAGTTCAGCAGTTCGAGACCCGAGTGTGCCGCATGACGGAGTGAGCTCCCGTCTCTAGTTCCAGCTCCTGCCAACTTGGCAGTTCGAAAGCAAGAACCTGCAAGTAGATAAATAGGTACCACTTTGGTGGGAAGGTAACAGCGTTCTGTGCACCTTGGTGTTTAGTCATGCCGGCCACATGACCACGGAAATGTCTTCGGACAGCGCTGTACTCAATGAAGAATAATGAAGACTGCACAATGAATTTGAAAAATTAAGCTTGGAAAATATGAGACATTTTTTTGGTACAAATATATATCGTTAGAAGTTAGTTTCTCAGTGTAAATTTGGCTTACATACCGTGAGTAAGTTCCACATGTTCCCTGACACTGAGACACAGAGACCTGTTCCACAGAACTGCAACCATTGTATTTGATCTTGTCCTTTATTACAGTCAGAGAGCATGGTGGTGGTGTTTGTGGTTCCTTAGGAATGCCTGCAGAATAAGAGATTTTAAAAGACCGTTGTGAAAATTCCTTCAGAAGTGTCATATTTTGTTCCCACATACATGAGTCTTTTCCTGTATGCAATGGTCTACAGCAACTCAAAAAGCTCAAAACCATATCCCAAGGTAATAACAAAACAGTGTCAGACTGTCTACCAAGATATACAATTTGGTAGTCTTGCTGAATGGCAAAGAACTAGATCACAATCCTGCTTTGCTGAAGTTAAGCACATGTAGTTCTCATTGATTCAGATGTACTAGGTAATAGGTAAGCATCTATTTCAGTGATGGCGAACCTATGGCACGGGTGCCAGAGGTGGCACTCAGAGCCCTCTCTGTGGGCACGCGTGCCATCCGCCCAGCCAGGCCCAGACCATCATTAAAGTGTTGAATTCTCTGCCAAGTAATTGTAAGTCAATGAAAGCATTTGGGATTGCTTTCCTTACTTTGTTTGGATCATCTTAAGTTAATGTATGAGTTGTTTTCTTCTAAAGTAAAACCTCAGTATTCAGGTTAAATTGCCGTGTTGGCACTTTGCGATAAATAAGTGGGTTTTGTGTCACAGTTTGGGCACTCGGTCTCTAAAAGGTTCGCCATCACTGATCTATTTAATACATTCTCACTAAAAACTGGCGTGATCTGGTCCATAGGGGTCACAAAAAGTCGGACTCGACTGTGCTGATGAAAAACAACAACAACAACACTAAAAATGAGTGACACTCTTATACATTTGGGACCAAACCAGATATAATTAATTAATAATAATCATATGGCATAGTGTGTAGACTAGCCAGGAGATCCTAAGACTGTCTGGCAGCCAGAAGTACTAGCTCTTTTAGTAATATGCACCACTAGGTGGAAAGCTAGACTGTGGTTTTTTTAGGCAAGAGACCTTTCAGAGGTGGTTTGCCGTTGCCTGCCTCTGCGTCACGGCCAGACAAGAAACAAAAGATCCATGATTAGGATCTTCCATTAAAAACCAAGCATACAGAGCCTAGAGGTAAGCTAGTGTTTAATATTTTCCTCCCATGACTCTTCCATAATTTATCGTTGCAATTAGCCCTGTTTGGGGGGAGAAATATATACAAGCACCTAAACATATATTTTTTCCCCCATGAAGAGCTAATTGCAATTTTGGAGGGGTGCTTTCATTCATAGAAGAGGAATGGGAGAAAATGTTTAAGTGCCCCCACTAACCCTGACTCAACCTTCGAAGCAACTGTCCAGGGCAGCTAGTTAGCTTTTGAAGAAACCAGAGGTCATTTCGGGGGGGGATTGCGGGGGAACACAGTTCCCCCGGGTGAGGTGCGGGGGGCGGGGCACACGACGAAGCCCCGCCCCCCGCTTCCGGCCCTCATTCAGCCAGGAGGAGGCAGGAGAAGAGGGAGGGTAAGTTGCTTCCTCCCCGCCTCTCCCCACCCCTGCCTGCCTGGGGCCAGGGAGGGCCTTGGCGGGGCTTCCTCGCACTCCCGCCGGCCTTGCAGGTCCACCACCAGGCCCCTGATGTCAGGGGGTGTGGCATAGGCTAATGAGTTATGCTAATGAGTTCCCCTAGCTCTTTTCCTACGAAACGACCCCTGGAAAAAACACACAAGATCCTAATTACGGATCTTTTGTAGGGTTGTCATCCCAGTTCTGGAAAACTGTGGAAGGTTTCTGGGGGCAAAAACATAAAAATGTGAATCGCTTTGATGTGCAGTATCACTCCTGGCATGAAACCAGGTCATCACATCAGGGTGACACTCTAGGATTCCACCATAACTGTACAGTAAAACCATAGGGTTCTGGAATCCTACAGCATCACCCCAACATAGTGATGTCACTTCAGGTTTCATGCCAGAATGGAGGTGTGTCAAAGTGACACATATGCCTCCCACCACCATTTCCCCCCAGCCATGAGAGACCTGGCAGCCCAAATCATTTGCACCTCATCTGGTTCACTCATGAGTTAATCTGATTTGTGGTAGCCTAATTTAGATGTGTTGTCCTCTTTGCTCTTCTTTTGTTTTGAACTATCACATAAATTAGGGTATTGGCTAAACAAAACAGCTACCTCACTGGAGAAAACAAATCATGCAATAGAAAAATTTGATTGGCAGGGATAGGATGTGTAATGTACTCCACCATTACCACGTGCGCGACCGTTGGGCAATGCGGTCTAGCAAGGCCCTGAAGCTTCGCTCCTAGAGAACAATAGCTCAGCGGATCCTAGCCCGCACCTATCAGAGGGCCAGGTCCGCCGCCAAGAGCCTATGGGACTCTTGGCTACTGTAAATAGCCTATAGGGTAAATAGGAGTGTGTCTTGGTGAAGGGTTTCTGTGCATATATACCGGCCTGTGAGCCGGCTGTCTTTTGTCTTGTTCCTTCTGAATAAAAGTACTTTGCTGAAATCACTCCACGTTTCTTAGTACTTTTCAGGATGCATGGCATTTTCACAGGCTGTTAAATTACTGGGCCCCTTCAGAGATGGTTTGGGCCTTTAAAACGTCCATGCTTACATCCCAGACCCTTAACTAGCTCCTGATCCCCTTCAGTTGGATCTAGAGATGCCCTTCAGTGAGCAGAAGGAGTCACTCCATGAGTGGAAGAGCAACTTCAGGGCCATTCATATATCTCTTCTAGGGTTCCCAAGTACTTACTGCGATCCGGTGGGGGACACATGCTCCCCGGCCGGAACAGTCCTCCCTGTAACGCACCATGCCGTTGCCAGGAAGTGACGCTGGGTGACGCTCTGACAATGGGGCTGAAAACTCGATGGTACCATCAAGTTTCCAGCCCCATTGCCAGAGCTTCGCCCACCGTCACTTCCTGGCGATGGCATGGTGCCGCGCGTCTGTTGTCCGCGCGGGAATGGTCCTGGGAAGACTTATGTGTCCCCCGCCGAATCACGGCAAGTACTTGGCAAGCCTGATCTCTTCCTACCTACCTCTTCTCTGTTTTTGTCTCTGTAGGAAAGAAGGAAAGCTTAAGTGGCTTTTGCCTGTGACACAAAAGCTCCTTGAAGCACAGCTTAACAGATAGCAGCTGCCCAACCTTCATCTTTCTTGCTAAATTGCTTGGCAGGTGAGGAAAGGAAAAACCTTGTTCATAAAGTTGCTTTTGACTCTCCCTACAGCATTACAAACTGATATCTAAAAATCCCCCAGACCAGTGTTCCCTCTAAGCTGAGTTAGTGTGAGCTGGCTCACAGTTTTTTAGCCTCCAGCTCACAGATTTTTGTCTTCACTCAGGAAGGAGGGCTCCAGAGCAAACTGATTTATGCAGTAGCCAAACAGTTTGCTCACAACTTTAATGCCAGGAGCTCACAAAGTAGAATTTTTGTTCACAAGACTCCACAGCTTAGAGGGAACATTGCCCCAGAGAGACAAAATAAACAATAAAAAGTTCTTAAGAAATTGGTATTTCAGGTTTTGTAGATGTTCATAGTTTGCTTACTGAAAAGACCTATTCTTATCAACTCTGAATGTTACTTTGCTTGGCAAAGGTCTAAAGTGACTGCCTCTGAATACAAAAGTTCCATAATTCTCTAATCTCAACAAATAAATAACTTGCATGTTATTTCATTGTCTTGTCAATTGTAAAGTGGATGTTTTAAATAGCACAGTTCATAAATCAGGAAGAATACAAGACTGGGAACCTCAACTCACCAAAATAGCAATAGTTCAATGTATTGAAAAGTATTAATCTATTTCTTATTGCACAATTATCAGTTCTACTTTTCAAATTAGAGCCAACAGCGTGCTCTTCTCAAGTAGGTGCATAATGTATGATACTTACATGTTTTACAGCAGCCATTAGGTAAATAAGTAATAGTATCCTAGGGGGAAAAAACAAACCCAGAAGATTATTATTTTTCTCTTACTACATTGTAGGAATGGGCACAGATAGGGAAAGCCCAGTTCGGTCCGGGGCTTATGAACCAGGTGGCCTTGAACTGAACCTCTAAGCAACAAAGCCACCCAAATCAAACTGGTTTAGGTGGCGTCGGGGGCCCACCCCAATTCCACCTGTGTCATCCAGAAGTGATGCAAGCATGTCACCCCCCCAAACCTTCTCACATCACTTCCAGGTGGTGTTCGATCCCACCCCCCGGGGTGCCCATGTCACCCGGAAGTGATGCGAGCATGTTGTGCTGCACTTGTGTCACTTCCGGATGATGCAGATGAGACCCAACGCCACCCAGAAGTAGCGTGCATGCATCAGGCTGAATACATGAGCCGAAGCAAGCTGAAAAGCTTGTTGAGTGTTCAGGGGAAGGTGCCTTTCCTGAACCTTGGCTCGCGAACCCCAAACTAGGCAAAGTCTGGCCTGGACTGTGGCTCAGGTTCGGGTCTGTGCCCATCCCTACTACATTGTATAACCCCCCCAGAACAGTAAAACCATATCTTACAATAAAGTGACTAGTTTAAGACTATGAGTCAAGGTTATGGAAGGGAGGAGAGTTTTATTTTAAAATTCTATGAATGTTCAGCAGGATCTGTTGGCATACGAATCATTTGATTCAAGAGACGTATGCATGCAATGGAGATACACCAGAATTTTGCTTACATCATAAGCAAGGATGGTCAAACTCCCCTTGACTTGATTCAGAACTGGGAGTGGCAAACTAGCTGGCTGGCAGCAACACAAGCCCATTGCCACTGATACCACCAATGGCAAGCTGTGAGCCAAGCCACTGTGGTGCATCTGTGCCTTCTTCAGCATGCCATCCCAAGCAGTCACTTGGTTGCCACGGCTACAGAACCAGCCCTGAAGGCATTCTTGAAAGTGCAACAGTGCCTGAACACCTTCCCAACCCCACCATGAGCCCTGTGTCTTCCTGATGAGTCATTCGAGCTCCTCACCCATGAGCTTCTGAACTCTCTCTTGCTAGTGCCTTCCCTTTCCCCACATTTTATCTAAAGGGGGTATAAGTGGCAGAAATGACTGAGTAGCCCTTTAGAAGCCAAGAATCCTCTGTGCTATACTTAGTAGCTGGCTGGCACTTAAAAGGCAACTGTGTGGAACATCCCAATGTGATGAATGGTCATTGCCAATGTTCCATTTCCATATAGATTTTTAAAGCTATCAGTCACGCTAACATTTTAAAATTTTGAATTTCCTTTGGACCATTTTTACTTATAGATGATAGATATTCCTGGAATGCAACACAAAATTTAGCTGTATCCTCTCTTGCTTATAACATGACTGAATCAAACTGGACAATTCACAAAATTGAACATGCATATTAAAAAATTACTCACAGGTTCACATATTGTCTCATTAAAGGATGGGCAGTTAATTGTGGAAGTAGAGGAGATCAACTGTCCATTGATGCTCACACAGGAATAAATAGTGCAGTTATTTTTTGGATCACTCCGGCGTTGACCAGGCTGTATAACACAAGGACATGAAATCAGTACGGACTTAAAAACACAAGAATTGGATACTGTTTTCTAATAGTATCTCTTTTAATCTTGTTTCCACTTTAAAAATATAATACAATATAGTGTGAAGATTTAAGACCAGTAGCCCCTTAAAAACCAACAAGTTTTCCAGGGTATAAGGTGATGTTTTCTGAGACATGTTAAGAGACATGAAAAAAGTACTGTTTATGGCTGAAATGGATAAACTTACAAGGAAGTTAAATAAGAAGATGAAGACTTTTTTGAAGAATGAAAAGAATTTAAAGAATATTTGGAAACAAATTGGGATGTCACAAATAATTTACTATGTTTTGATGAGTATTAAAATAGAATATTATAGAATGACTTAGGGAAAATTGAAATTTAAGGTTACCTGGATGTGTGAGATAGATATAGATAAGTAAGAACTAAATGTTTAATGATATTGAGTATTATAAAGTTAAGAGAGAAATTAAGAAAATATGAAATAGATAATGGGATAGGAACATTGTGGGAAGCCAAGCAAGGGGGTGGGGAGGGAGATACTATAAAAACGGGATATGTGAAGAATAAGAATATGAATGTTGTAATGAAAATGATGAAAATGTTATCATATCCTATTAATAAACTATTTTTTAAAAAGAGACATGATAATTCGAACTTTGTAATGCATGAGTAAGCTCACCCCTGACCTGGATAGCCCAGGCTAACCCGATATCATCATATCTCAGGAGCTAAGTAGGGTTGGCCCTAGCTAGCATTTGGATCATGCAGGGCTCTTTTTGTAGCAGGTACTCATTTGCATATTAAGCGACACACCCCTAAAGTAGCCAATCCTCCAAGAGCTTACAGTAGCTCCTGTAAGAAGAGCTCTGTAAGCTCTTGGAGGATTGGCTACATTAGGGGTGTGTGGCCTAATATGCAATGGAGTTCCTGCTACAAAAAGAGACCACCATGGAATACCAGGGTTATGACGCTGAGGCAAGCAATGGCAAACTACCTCTAGGGATAGACATGAACCAGGAAAATGCGGTTTGATTCATGGCATGCCTGGATTGCAAACCACGAACCGTCAAAAACTTTTAGCAGCCAAATGAACCAGTTCAGTTTGTGAGGTTCGTGATGTGGTAGAACACGCCTCCCGGTGCGCTAAAGACTCCAAACTCACAGGGGATCTCCATCTGACTCTCCTCTACCTGCCCTCCAAGTTTGGTGAGGGGTCTAAGTTACAACCCCCCCCCAAGAAGGTGCCCCCAGGAAAGTGCTTTCTGGAGAAATGACTAGCAGTCATTGTGACAGGTGCAGGTTCAGGAGGTTCAGGAGTGTATAGAACAGATTCTGTGCAAGCTAGAGACATCAAAATGCCCTCCAAGTTTGGTGAGGGTTGATGGGGTCCAATTAATGCCCCCCCAAAGAAGGTGCCCCCAGTAAAGTGCTTTCTGGGGAAACGACAGGTTCAGGAATGTGCAAGCTAGAGACATCAAAGTCACAGGGAACTTCCCCCAGATGATCCTCTACATGCCCTCCAAGTTCTACCCCCTCCCCCATTGCTTTGAAGTTTGGTAAACATTTAGATTGAGTGGAGACAGTCTGTCTGGAAACGTATCCATTCACAAACCGGTGCGAACCACCATGAACTGCTTGAAAATTCACAGAAAGTTTGTATGGATTGACCTCCACGATGCTGAATTCTCAAACCACAAGCTGGCCAAAATTCATCACAAACTTTAGTTTGTGAGCTGGTCGTGTGCATCCCTAAACACCTCTGAATGTCTCTTGCCTTGAAAACGTGTATACATTGATGGTAAAATAACTCATCTCTTTCTCTCTTTTTCTTACAGGCAGGGGTCATTTCGTAGAAAAAGAGCTAGGGGAACTCATTAGCATAACTCATTAGCATATGCCACACCCCCTGACATCAGGGGCCCGGCGGTGGACCTGCAAGGCCGGCGGGAGTGCAAGGAAGCCCCACCAAGGCCCTCCCTGGCCCCAGGCAGGCAGGGGTGGGGAGAGGCGGGGAGGAAGCAACTTACCCTCCCTCTTCTCCTGCCTCCTCCTGGCTGAATGAGGGCCGGAAGCGGGGCAGCCGGAAGCAGGGGGCGGGGCTTCGTCATGTGCCCCGCCCCCCATACCTCACCTGGGGGAACTGCGTTCCCCCACGTTCCCCCCCGAAATGACCTCTGCTTACAGTTAACTGCTTTTTCTCCTGCTACAACGTTTTGAGAACAAGAGAATCATTGCCATTTGAAGACGCTTATGAAGAAAAGGAATACACTTACTGATAAGGTGAAAACAGAAGCATTTGTTCGTATAAAGCAGCTTGTTTGCACACATTTCCCACAGCATTCACCAGGTTGTGGCCACGTTAGAGAATATCCCTTGGAAGAAAGAGATGCACAATTAATATGTCTAATTTCTTCCTACAGCATCTGAAACATGACAAATGATCCCTTTTTTCCATGCAACAACTTTGTGCTTTTACTCCCACTTTACAAGAGAGTCACTGGGGCTGAGACAGTGAGCTCCTAAAGGATATGTAGGTTTTCTACAGTGGAGCACAATATGCCATTCACTGTGGCCAACACTGAAAGTCACAAATAAAAAAGAAGTAACAGAATGATCATAATTGCAGCCCTGTAACCAAATTTTATAGTTTTGCCATGAAAGCGTCATTTTAAAGTTAGTTACAAAGAAAAAAAAGACATGGGCCCCATTCACATGGCGAATTTGCCATGGGAGAGCCACGATGGAATGGCGGATTTTCCGGGTGTGATCACACCACAACATCTGGCAAGTGGAGCGCACCCGTTGCCAACCTGTGGCATGCCGCCAAAAATGCGTGATTAAAAAAATACCTCCTCAAAGGTACTAGTAAATGGTTTGCCACGGGCTGCCTCCAGACTCCCTCTCTGTGATCACGCTGGTGCGGCTTTTCCCTCCGGCCATCTTCATTGCAGTGCACACGCCGAGGGCCGGAACCCTGGGTTGCTGCTGATGTGTCTGATCACGTTGTCGCGTGTCTAATTGCAAATAGCCACGCCTCCCCCCTGCGTTTTCCAGCCTGTGTGACCAGAGCCATGGTAGGGAAATATTAAATGGCTTGGATCTACACTAGCATTTCTCCGAGCCTGAGGATTTCTGCCCGCACAGTACAACTTTCCCACCTCCCTGAAATGCCCTACCCCTGTCCTCCATGAACAGCATTTCAGGTGCATATTGGACTGGCACAGGAGGGGCAAGGCAGGAAATTGCACTGTGCAGGCCCTTTGGCCCATGAAAATGCTAGTTTGGGTCCAAATGATGTTCAAATGCTTTCTTTTTGGGTTGTTTTTTTTTTTTTTGGTAACTAAAATTTATCAGACCTAAAAGTGAGTATAATATCCATGACAGCAACCCACACATCAGTGCCAGAATCTTCTTCTTTGCTCCAAAGGAAAGAGCAGCTAGTGAAGAGAGGATAAGACATAAGAAAACAATGCTTCTGTCAATATTTATAGTGACTGCTTAAAAGAAGCTTGGCTGGTGCTTACTTCTTCACATGACACGCTGCACGGAATGTGGTCACAGTGAATAGCTTTCAGATTAGTGCTGTTGTTCCATTCGTGTGTACAGACACAGTCCTGGCACTCGCCCCCTAAGACTTTTGAACCAGGCTGAAACAGAGAAGGAATAGTTCATCTGTTAGCAAAGCACAATGTGAAAACTGCATTAATAAACATTACTATGTATTTGTAGTGATGCGAGAACAGCCATTAATACAGCAATTCGTTCCAGTTTTCAAGAAGTCTTATTTGATTTCTATAGATGTCCTTGCTTCATTCAGAGACCTTTGCTCCACTTTATTTTACTCTCTTCTGACCAGTGGTATTTCTTTCTTGACTCAAGCGTTGTAGTAAAAGTACAGGCTTGTCTGAGCTCTGAAAACAGATTGCATAAGCGAACCGTTCCCTCGACAAAATGTCTATGAAAATATGACTCTGGAATCAAATGGTTTTCATTCCACAGAGTTATTCATTGGAAGAAAGGAAAACATACCTTGTATTCAGCACCATTAGACACACAAACCCCTTTGGGAGCTACAAAAAAGAAGAAGAAGAAGTGGCATTTTAAAGCCTTGATTCAAATACAGACAAATCTCTAACAATCATAATTATTATCATCTCTCTGCTACACTTCTCTCTATAGGATAGCCGAAAATGAGCCAATCGTACAGACCTCTCTTTGAAGTGCAGATGGGTTGGATCCAGCCAGCTTTTTCACTCAGTTCCATCCCTTCTTAATGCAACCTGCATCCCACATGGCTTTTGTATATGATGCCTAGTGTAGCCTTGTCTGTGTGGTCAAAGGGGACCCCTCATTACTTTTCCCCCAGAGGAAAAGCTGATTGGATCCAACTCATTTTGTGTAATAGACTATCAAATTATTAGTTCATTTCCTTTATATTTCCTGGAGCATAAAAGTGCCTGCAACACTGCTACAGGGTAACCTAATCCTATCATGCCATACTTGCATGCAAGTGTTTTCCAGCTGTTGTATGGACAATGTAAAGGGGTGAAGATACACTGGAACATTAAATATAGTAACAAATCTGCTATCTTTTCCTTGCCTGGACTAAGTGTGGCCAATGAAAGCCAGCAGAAGGGGAGAAAAATATCCCTTCTACAAAACATCCCAGCATATTATCTGTTGAATCCCCAATGCAAGATGGAGAAGCCACCCAATGTTATTCAAAGAATCAGTCAGCACTTTTATATTCAGTATGTATCTATTATTTCACTCTTTGCATTGGTTCTGTCTGATATATGCTTCTGCGATGCAGTGTGTATGCACATTAACTGGTGGACATTATTTATGTGCAGAAACCGGCTTTCTTGAATGGATCAGATGAGTCCATACCTGAATAAATTAATTACATGGAGGAAAAGGCCAAGTTCGGGAACTTTGTCAGAGTTTTACCAGAGTATCACACGCAGAATTAACCGCACCATAGCTGCAAATGCCGGGCGGATTTTAAGGGCATGATCACACAAGAACATCTGCCGTGCCGAGTGTCCCGCACCTGTCGGCAACCCGTTTTGCTCCACCGCAGAAGCAGAGTTAAAAGACACTCAGGAAAGTGGAGTAGCAAACGGGTTTGCTATGGGCCACAGACGGACTTTCCCCGTGTGATTGCTCCAGCGTGCTCTCATGGCGTCGGGGTGGTCTGATCAAGCCAACCAGATGTCATGCCATTGTTTTTCCCATTCTCAGTATGAGCATCATCGCATACTGCCATAGGAAGCCCTTAGTGTGGAGATGCGATTCATCGATCCCCCGTTTAAGTGAATCGGAAACCAATGGAAAAAAAAACCACCCGCGGTTGTGTCTGATCATGCAGTGGCAGAATGCGCCTGCAGCTTCAAAGAACTGTGTGATCACGCAACTGTGGGTCAATTTCCTCCGGGGTAAATAGCCTCGCTCCCCCCCCGCCCCCCGCATTATCTTGCACGTGAGACTGCAACCCCAGTCTGTCCACAAAATATTTTACATCCATTGTAGAACAGTTGAGCTACAGCTTTGTGCTTTACCAAAGGTCTTCTGAATCATTCATGACTTCCTGCACTAGAGCCTTAAGCTAAGCACATTTACTCAGAAGTTAGTCCCATTGACGAAGGCTGGATTTCCATCTGAGAAAGCATACTTAGAGTCAACATACAGAGGTGAAATGTCATGCTGGAAGAAATGTGGTTCCAAGGGTTCTTTTATTCACATGTGGTGGGAATGTGTTCACGTCCAGAATTTCTGGAAACAAATACTGCAATTCATAAAATATTTTACAGGTTGCAGTATCCCCATGGATCCAGCCATCATTC